GTCGTCAAGTGCCAGACTTGAAGACTCAGGAGGTGTCGCCGTGAAGGTTATCAAGAACCGCACAGCCTATTTCAACCAGAGCATGATGGAGGTGTCTGTCCTTGATTTGGTACGACAACTAGCCCTTCCCGCCCGAAAGGGCATTCGTTTGCTAATTCAGTCTTCAACAGCTCAACACCAAACTGGATAAGAATGATGATCACCACCTCCTGCGACTCAAAAGACACATTCATCCACCGCCAGCATCTCTGCCTCGTGTTCGAGTTATTGAGTGTCAACCTCTACGAACTCATCAAGCAGAACCAGTTCAGGGGACTCAGCACGACCCTCGTTCGCGTCTTCGCCCAGCAGCTGCTCAATGGCCTTGCGCTTCTCAACAAGGCCCGCTTGATCCACTGCGACCTGAAGCCCGAAAACATTCTTTTGAAGAACCTGGAGAGCCCTATCATCAAGATTATTGATTTCGGCTCCGCGTGTGACGAGCGCCAGACTGTGTATACATACATTCAGTCTCGATTTTACCGTTCTCCCGAAGTCCTGCTGGGGTTACCGTATTCGTCTGCCATCGACATGTGGTCTCTTGGCTGCATCGTGGTCGAGCTGTTCCTGGGTCTCCCCCTCTTCCCTGGATCGTCCGAGTACAATCAAGTCTCACGAATCGTCGACATGCTCGGCAACCCGTCCAACTGGATGGTCGAAATGGGAAAACAGGCCGGCGAGTTCTTTGAGAAGCGGCAGGACGAGTTTGGGCGCCGCACATATCAGCTCAAGCCCATGGAACAATACGCACGGGAACACTCAACCAAGGAACAGCCCAGCAAGAAATACTTCCAGGCGAACACTCTTCCGGACATCATCAAGACTTATCCCATGCCGCGGAAGAACATGAAACAGAATGAGATCGACAGGGGTACGCTTGGCCACCCTGGTATGACGGGGACGACTGCTGACAGAATTTGTAGAAATGAACAACCGCATCGCTTTCATCGACTTCGTCCGCGGGCTGCTCAATATCAACCCGCTAGAGAGATGGTCTCCCCAGCAGGCTAAGCTGCACCCTTTTATTACCCAACAGAAGTTCACTGGTCCCTTTGTACCCCCCATGAACCTCAAGTCGAGCTCGCTTAACAGGTCCCCGGCTCCTGGTACGCAGCAACAGCAGCAAGCAGAGGCGCTGAGCAAACAGCGTGCCCAGGCAGCCCAGGCACAGGCCCACTCGGCGGCGCAGGGGGCTTATGCATCGATGAACGCGCAATACCAGCAGGCCGGACACGCCCCAGCAACGCAGTCCATGTATGGTAGTAACGTCATGTACTCTCCTGGCGGCAATCACGCCCCACAGCCGCCTGCCTATGGCCCGCAGCCGGGTGGTTATGGGCAACAGCAGGTGGTCTTGTCTCAGGCGCCGCAGCAGATGCCTGCAGCTCCTTATGGCCAGCAGCCCAACATCAACCAAGGCGGTCTCTACCCGCAAAACAACATGCGCCCCGGGCGCCAGCGGGCTTCGACAATGGATCAGCAGCAAAGCGGGATCCCTGCTGCCATCCAGCGCGTTGCTAGCCACCTTGACCCTAGTCAGCCCATCAGGCTTCAACCGAGCCCAGCATACTACCCGCCACCGGGCGAAGGTATGTCGGGGGTTGAGGGCACGCCAGGCAGGGCAGGACGACGCGATAGCCGTGCGCAGCAACAGGGGCGGAGGGGGAACAACCGCGATTTCATCCGCAACCTCGAGGAGCGGACGCTGGAAGAGGGCTTCATGGGTAGCCAGAATAACCCCTGGCACTGAACAATGACTTGACGTCGTCCAGTCGAGTGAGACGGCGACGGGCTTATCGATCGGTCGAACCCCAGAAGTTGTCAGAAACAGCCGGGGTTTTGTACGAGGGACCATAACCCTTCAGAAATGTCATCCCACGTGCTACGAGAGCTGGCGCAAATTGCCCATTGTCTAGTAAGACGTACAAGAGCCGGCACGTGTAGGAACTCCAGGCCTGAGCCCGGTCAGAAGCTCACGAAATCAAGGGCATCGATGTGGAGGAAGGGCCGGCGCAGAGAACATGGCCCGGACAAATTGGCGCCAGGGACATACGTGCTTTTGACTGCGACAACGACGACGCGGCCCCGACCAGATAGAAACCACGTGTGGCGCTGCTGGCAGCAGAAGCTGGAGATCAAGAGGATGGATACCATGAACGATGACGAAACGGACGGACGGGCGGGAGGGCGGACGGGAGGCAGAAACATTGCAGCATCTTATAACGTGGATGGAGGGCATTGGCGGCTTTCTTCTCTTCCTAGGAGGTACCGCCAGAGAGGGGATTGTGGGAGGGTAGGACGGGGAATGACTTTGAGCAAAGGGAGCCTCAACAGGCTTTGTACTTTGGATCCTATCCAGGCTGATTAAATGCTGTCTGTACTCAGTGACAGAAAGGGCAGTCCTCTTGAGGAATCAAATGTGTCAACTTTTTGCGGATTCTGTATTGTCGTGTTCTGCTGAGTTACTTTCCAAAGCAGCAGGACATGGGTAGAGAAACATTACTCACCATCCAAATGTGCGTTCAGCACCAAAAAAAAGGACACCTCCATATGAAGTGTGCCAGTGTCCCGGGGAAAGTGATGAGACCAAATATAGGTGACGGCTGGCGGGCAAGCAGGAAGGCGCGCGGTGGGACGCCTTTCGGGTTGGCCATGAGGTGCCCAGGTCCCCGTAGGTACAGACTTTTTGGTGGGTTGATGAGTTTCGCTGGCCTCCTAAAAGTGGACTGTGGCGCCCGAAGAATGGGCCACGAATGATGGCTAGGTACCTAGGTAGGTACCCGACTTAGATATGTAGGGGTCAGTCCAATTGATTAACAGGTCGGTAGGTAGCTTATCACACGCGTTGGAGCCTATGCCTTTACCACCTCGACAGAACCTACATACTACACCTGATCACCAAACCGCCCCCCCTGGGTAGCCTTTTGCGCAAACATCACAGTAGGGTCTTGCAACCTGCTTCTCTCTTTTCTCTCTCCTGAGTTCACTTAGGACTTTCTGTCGCGCACTCCCGTCGGCCAGTGCCTTCAAGAACAGAGAGTGCACCCGGCCTCTTCTCCGCCTCCCCTGTCTGGCCTGCTCTCCTGCAAACGTCACAAATCACCAACAACCATGGCCAAGGTCGCAGTCGATTTCGAGAAGATCGTCCACGAGGGTGAGTCGCTCTGGTCACTATGCTTGCGATCCGACACCGTTCTTATGAGGCGATACAGGCCGTGAACGTCAGAAGAACCAAGCCCTGGCCCAGAAGATCTTCTCCAAGGACAGGAGACAGAGTGCTCCGTCCAAGATCAAGCCCGGGACAGGGCCTTCGCTTGCGAGCAGGGTGGGCGTCAAGAAGGTAGGCCATTGCGCAGTCCACCCGTCTCTCTCAGCCTTGATGGCATGTGGTACGAAGCTAATCCAGGCTCGTTCTGCAGCAACGCGCTTCCCTCGGCCCAGCGAAAGCTTCGAGCGCGGGCAACATCAACGGCGAATGGACCCACGATCTCCACAGCTCCGTCAACGATCCCAGGAACAACAGCCTCGCGTCGCGTATTTCGACGCCAGGGAGCAAGAATGTCGCCGTCGGGCCCAAGGGCAAGCGGGCTGAGAAGCGCGCCGCCAAGATGGTCGACGCCCTCGAGCGGACAGACTTGCTCCAGCAGAAGCCGAACCCCGCGTCCAAGGGCCCGGGCCTGTCCATCCGCGGACTCGCAGGGCCGTACGCCGTCATGGCGCAGAACTTTGCGCCTGGCACCACGGCGGCGGACATTGAGAGCGCCATGACGCCCGTCGGCGGCGAGATGATCAGCTGCACCGTCATCAAGACGCAGCCTATCATCATTGTCGAGATGGTCTTCTCGTCCAAGGAAGGAGCCGAGGCGGTCATTTCGACGTTCAACGACCAGACGGTATGCTTTTGCTGGCACGGGGCTCGCCGACATGAAGTGAACATTTGGCTAACCCGGACGTGCTAGGCCGACGGTCGACTCATCAAGGTATATCCCAAACCGGGCGGTTACAAGGACCCTGCCACGCAGAGGAGTGCTGCAGCCCCACACAACGCCCCCAGTGGGCCACGGGCTCAGAGAGCGAACGCCGGCAACATTGTCGACGGCTCGCACGGGTTTCAGGACGAGGACAGGGACGACGAGCAGCCCTACTATTACAGCACGGAGCGAAGCGGTCTCTACAGCGATAAGCTCGTCGGAAACAGTCGCAGGGGTCGGGGGCCCCAGCAGCGCAGTAGGGGAGGTCGATAAACCTAGGGATGTGAGCAGACACCACGGGCGTTCGGTTGCGGGACATTGACTGCCGGTCTTGATGGGCTGCTGCACTTGCCATCTGAAACCTTGCTAGAAAGGAAGGAGAGAACGGAAGAATCTGGCTGATTCACTGTATCATCACACGAGCAAGGTTGCTAGATTGGGTATATGACTCTAATGTAAGCGGTTGAGCGAACATAGGCGCTGACATGGGCGTGACTCTATCTATTATATGACAAGTGTTGTACATCGCTATTCAGCGGGGCATTACCACTCCAACTTTTCCGACATTGATCTTTTAGCGTCCCTCTCCTCTCCGATGATGCTGGCCGGCAGCTGCTGTCGGAGTTCGGTAAAGACGACTACTTGCCTGTTGAGGCTGTCTCGCCTCGTCTGCAAAACCTTCATAGTCTTCCTGTCGAGCACGTCCTCGACACGTCCGATGCGCCCTGCAATGCCGACCATCTCGCGCGCCAGCCCGACGACCTCGTTGACGCCGCTCATACGCGCTGGTGTCCCTGATCCATGGCTTCCGGCTCTCGACCATCCTCGGCAGCCCGACACTCTCGCTTGCAAGACGGTACGGTTCCCAGACCTTGTCGAGAGCGTCCGCGAGGCGCTTGCAGTACGGCTTCCGCTCGTCCATGTTGGCAGGGGAAAAGTCCTCGCCGCGGCCTTGGACGAGCTGGAGGTAGAGGGCAAGCGACTTTGGATCCGTCCGGCCAGCGGCTGACATGCTGTCCACTATGGCGGCTGCATTGGCGGGCATGCGCGGGCTGTTCTTGTCGCGGAGGCAGGTGGCGAGAGCAAGGCGAAAGAAGTAAGGGGTCGCGAGGGGTGGGGGGATGGCGGCGGCGAGGCTGGCAGCATCGGCGCTGGCACGGCCGAGGTGGAGGAGGCGAAGCATCTGCTCCCACAGCTTGGCGTCGGGTTTGACGGCGTAGGTGTCAAGAATGTGATGCCAGTACCGGATGCCGGCGCGGGTGAGGCGGGCATCGGTGAGGATGGTGATGAGCAGAGACAGGGTGTTCTTCCCGGGGACAGCATAAGGCGCAGTCCTTTTGCTCGAGGACATGAGCGATGGCGGCGCGGGGTCGACGGCATCGTGGGGTTTGGCGTTGCTGTCCTTGTCCAACCTCGGCAGGTTCATCGTCTCAGCTGCCAGGACAAGAATGTCCTGGCTGCGGGTTGACTTGTCGAGAAGTAGCACGCGACCCATGGCGCAGACGAGATGCTCATCAATGACGAGGTCGCCCTTGCGCCAGTTGCGCATGACTTCCTCCCATAGAGACTTGCATCGTTCAATAGTCTGAGCTACATGCTCTTTCCGCAGCTGCTGCGACGCAGTCTTGGTAGACGCGGGGTCTTCCGCCGAAGCGCGTAGACTCTGTAGGATGGCGGTATAGGTATGTGTGTCGGGCTTGAGTTTGCTGTCATCGAGTGAATCGAGGAGGGAAAACATGGCATCGAGGTCGCCGGCGCGGCCACAAGCCTGGAGGACTGCGTTCAAGTGAATGATGTTCGGCTTGAGCCTTGCGTCTTTGGTCATCGACTTGTATAAGCGGACCGATTCCGCCACGGCGAGCTTGGGATATGTCGAGCGGGCGCAGCCGCGAAAGATGATGGTATACGTGAGCTCGTCGGGGTGCTGACCACGTTTCTTCATGTCGTTCAAGAGGCGGACAGCGGCGTTGAGCTTCTGGTTTTTCATCTGGAAGTCGATCAAGTGATTCCAGGAGACGACGCACTGGGCCGTCTTGCTGGCCTGTTGTACAAGGAGGAGGGCCTCATCGTAGCGATCCTTTGCGAGAGTGCGGCTGACATGCTGTGCAATGATGAAGGGGTCGTCCATGCGCTCAAGGTGCTTCTTAACCGCCCATTCCAGCTTCTGCCTGTCTTTTAGATCCGACCTGGTGCTAGGGCGGGTCTGTCGTGAAGTAGTAGAGGCTACGGGGGCTCGAATCGCATCTTCGATCGATGAGGTTGCGAATGACCTGGTATGTTGAGAGGAAGCGGCGATGCTGAGGATCGCTAGATCGGTGGGACATAGATGAGCTTGTCGCCGAGCCCAAGGCTCTACGAAAGGCAGGCTCTACATGAAAACATTAGAATAATTGCTGCGCGAAAAAGGCCCAATGCGAATAATCGTCTCTGAAGCAATGATACATGACCGAGCCATCAGGTTCCATCTCGGGAGTTTTTTCGAGAGTCTGATTGCGTTCTTGAGCGATAAGGTCCTATCTAATCACTCGTTATCCACCCACAAGGAGTAGGGGCTAGAGCATGGGTTTGAAGGGAACGCGTCGTCAAGTGAACGCGCGAAACGCGTGCTGAACGTGATTAACGCGTCTCCTAACGCCCACTTTGTCTTGTCACAGTATGTCGACCAGCCAGAGCCCCCTGGCAGGACAACCAAGCTCTTGTCCACACCACACACCACCACAACACTTCCCCGCCAACCCTCACCAGTTCTCTTTCCATTCTGCTGATTCGATCGGTCATGAGCCAGACTCTGTCATAGTCCAACTCTTCGTTTCACCCCGTCCGCACCATGGGGAAGACAGACAGGCGCGCCAAGCTGGCCGAGCTGAAGGCTCTCCGGCAGGCGGGCAAGAAGGCTTTCGATAACTACCAAGTCGACGATATCAACGAACTTTACGAAGAGGTCGATGAAACGCAGTACAAGAAAATCGTACGTGATCGTCTCAACGAAGATGACTTTGTCGTAGACGACAACGGCGAGGGCTATGCCGACGACGGCCGCGAAGAATGGGATCGTGTGCAGCAGTACCACTACGCTTCTGACAGCGAGGAAGATGGGTCCGGCGCCAGGGGAAGGCCAACAAAAGCTTGTCAGTACTTTGGTTCCGTCTCTAACACTGTCAGGCGGCTGACAATCCGCAGCCAAGAAGAAACAAGCCGACGACGCAGCCAGGCGGGAGGCGAATGATCGAGACATCAGTACATACTTCACCAGTGGTGCCGGCAAGACGCAAGCGAAACCAAAGGTGAGTCGCTGGATCCCAATCAAATAAGCCTGGCTCACACAACCCTAGGTTGCGAAAACGAAGGAAGACGACGACTTCCTCGCAGATCTCCTCGGTGAGGTCGACACCAATGTTCCCGCTCCAGTGCCCCGTTCCACGAAACGTCACCGATCACCCGATCGCCAACAACGGAGAGTTCGAGTCGCTTCTCCCCCGTCACATGAGCGGTCCCAACCGTTGGCGAAACGAAGTAAGATTCGGGATGATCGACCATCGTCTCCTCCTGCTGCGGACGATATACTCGTGGACGACAATTCTGTTCCCACCATGGACGACGACGAACTGCCGACCCAATTCCCCATGAGCGACCCTGCACCCTCCTCGCCGGCAGCCAAAGTCGCAGAGCGCAAGGCTCAGATTAAGAAAGAGCCCGACGATGACGATGACGACATGATGGAGGTCGCTCATGCCGGCACCGTTACTGCTGCCAGTGTCAATATTGCCGGGTCCAGACCACCCAAGAAGTTGATCAAGCCCGAGCCCTACCCAGCACCCATCACGTCATCACCTGTCAAGCAAGAATCAGCTATTGACCCATCCGCGTGGAACGACATTACAAATAACCTCAATATCGTCAGTAACTCGGTCTCGGAAGTCAAGAGCATCCGCAAGATCGACTACAAGGACGCCATCGAAGAAGATGGTAGCCTGAACATGTTTTGGACAGACTACACCGAAGTCAGTGGCAGCTTGTGTCTCTTCGGCAAAGTCCTGAACAAGAAGACTGGCCAGCATGTCAGCTGTTTCGTCAAAATCGACAACATTTTGCGCAAGCTCTTCTTCCTACCCCGCGAGACTCGCGTGCAGGGTGGTATCGATACGTGCGACGAGGTTGGCATGGTGGACGTGTACAGTGAAGTGGACGCCCTCATGACCAAGATGAAAATTGGCAAGTACAAGACCAAGTCATTGCAACCGAAAGTATGCTTTCGAACTACCAGACA